GTGAGGACCTGCCTGCTGACACATGACCTCCTTTCTCTGGGCTCGCTCCTCTGCTGTTCAGTGCCTCCATGGCTCAGGCATCCCCTCTCCTGGCCCAGGCCCGGTTGACCAGGGCACGCACTGGACAAGGAGTCCAGTCCTGAGAGGTGAAGTGCTTTGAGAGCCCTGGATGGCAAAGCCGAAATAAGCAGTACTGTCCGGGGTGGCTTCTGGCCTGGAGGATGGAGCTGGGTGGTTTCCACGGGGCTGTCAGCCAACACTCTTGCGCTTGGCAGGCAGAATATTAATAGGAAATGAACTCCTGGTGCGTATGACTGAATGAATGCTGGAGAGGGTGGTGGCCAGGTTCCCCCTCGAGGGTACCGGAATTTGGAGATCAGAGTTCACGGGAGGGGGTACTGTGTAACCCTTGACCCAGCCCTCCCTGCTTCCTGGGACCCCAACCCCACCCCCCAGGGCAGTGCTTCATCTCTGCTGCAAAGCGAAGGCAGGGTATTCAAATGAACGTTCTAAGTCCAGTCCAGGGACAGCCAAGGAAGCCCATTACCTGGGCCCGAGGGTCTCGGCACCCAGCAGGGCCCAGGGTGGCCTTGCTCAGCTCCCGGTACAGGCAAAAATGAGACGTTAAGTTTCTTCTCAGCAGATTTCCTCTGCACCAGGAGCCATCCCTCCTTTCCTTCTGTTTTCCAAGTGGAAACAGTGAAATGGTCATATGAGTCTGGGAAGATTATGTCAACCACAGGGGAGCAGACGAAATGACTTTTCTGTAAGAGGCTTCTCTCCCCCGTGTCCAGCCCTCAGCCCACTGGAAGATTTAATAACCCCACCGGCTGCAGGATAGCAGAGAGAGTACCCTCCCTGCTCACCTCCTGGCTTCTCAGCTATTCAGCGTCCCAGAAAACAAGGCGGTGTTGTACCAAGAGCTTCGGGGAAATCAGGACCCACTGGACACAGTGAGCCACCTTCTGAAGTTTGTTGTTGTTGTTGTTTTTTTAATTAATTAAATGTAATCTCCGGGGTCTCTCCCCCTTTCTCTTCGGCTAGACCCTGCGGGAGGTGCAAGGCGGGGACCTTCGCAGAGGCCAGAAGCCTGGCTCAGTTCAGCTGGATTGCCTTAGTGTTAAAGGAGACTCAAAAAAAAGAAGAAAAAAAAATAAAATAAAGGAGACTCATGCATGTGTTCAACAAATATTTATTAAACGCCTTCTACGTGCCAGGCACTATGAGAGGTGTTGGAGATTAAGAGGGAAGAGAACAGAATAAGTCCTGCAAGGGGCTTACATTTTAGAGCTAAGAGATGCAAATTCTAAGCAAATAAACAAACAAGACATACGATAAATTTGGGAAGGGATCTGAGCTCTGAAGAAAAGGAAATCAGAGTGAAGGAAGCCAGAGTGGAGGAGCTGTTTTAAGTGGAGCAGTCAGGGAAGGCCCTTTGAGGAGGTGACATTCCAGCAAACATCTGCAGATGGAGTTCAGGCAGACGGGAGGGCAAGGACGTGGGATGTTGGAGGAAGCACAGGGAGGCCTGTGGGGCTGAGTAGGGAGCAAGAGCAGAGTGGGAGGTGGGGTTAAAGAAGGAGGTCATATGGAGCCAAGATCATGATAAGGAGTTGAGACTTTGTTCTGGGAGCAATAGGGAACCATTGAAGACTTTTGAGCAAAAGAGTGACATGGGCTGATTTACTTTATTTGGGGTGAAGGAAGGGACATAAAGTGCACACCTGGCTTTTGCAGATGTATGTACCACCCACGTGAAGATACAGAACATTTTCACCCTACTGAGTTCCCCTCCTGCTCCTTCCCAGCCAGTACCCTCCCCAAAGTTAGCCATGGATTTGCTCTGATTTCTACAACCATCAAATACCTTTGTCTGTCCTTAACTTTTATGTAAATGCCATCAAATAGCATGTCCTCTTTTGCTGCTGGCTTCTTTCATAAAACATCATGTCTTCAAGATTCATCCCCATTGTTACGTACATCAGGAGTTTGTCTTTTTTTTTTTTTTTTAAAGATTTTATTTATTTATTTGACAGAGAGAGACACGCGAGAGAGGGAACACAAGTAGGGGGAGTGGGAGAGGGAGAAG